AAAAAGACAAAAAGACAAAAAGACAAAAAGACAAAAAGACAAAAAGACAAAAAGACAAAAAGACAAAAAGACGTGAGTTTTGTTGCTGATTGCCTGAATCGAACAAGCGGTCTTAGCATTGCGATTTTTTTTGTAGAATTAGGGGAAATTCTTTTGATTATACAAGTGCTACGCGTTACCACTGCGCCAAACCAGCATGAAATTCACGAATTTGGATTCATGTATTGAACAGGGAATCTAAGAATCGAAAAGTATATATTGTTGGTACATGGTAGGTAGGCAAGAAGACTAGGTTTTAGGTTAGGAAACTGTTGCGTGGGTTATATTTGGGCATGGAGGGGGAGTACAGGAGGGTGATAATGGGGTATGGAATGGAAAGTAGGGATGAGGTTGATTGGAGAGATGGGGTTTGGGTCTGATTGTATATTGTGTTTACGATGGATTGGCATGGTTGAAGATTGCGTTCTTTATTCTAATTTGATTGCTTGATTGGATTCAAAAGTATTAGGATGATTAGAAAGAGTGAGGCGTGGAAGTTTGGGGAATGGGTGTTGTCCTCAGTCCTTTTTTGAGGCGACTGTTTTGTGTAAAGTTGTGGCATTTTGGGGCTGGGTGCAGGCGTTCGATGATTGAACCGTTTTGTGTAGGCGGGAGAATATTGGGATTTGTTTTTGAGCAGACGTTGGCTGGTTTCACGGCGAGGGTATAAAGGGTTCTTGAGAGAATGCTACGGCTGAGGGTCATGGTTGTGTGTGTATGTGTAGTGATAGCCACAAGCAGATACAACCTCCACACTCGGAAATCTTCTCATGCTACGCCTCACAAAATGTCAGTCAAGTGAAGGAAGGTAGCCAGCCACCATAGATGCGCAGTGCAATGTCTCCTTGGAAGTTAGCGTCGCGTGGCGGGCCAGCCGATGACTAGCCTCACGTTTTCCTGGGGGGCCCGTTCCGTAGCCTGTGAAGCTCCGACCACGCACATGCGCATCATCGCCGTTGGCCCCAGGCAACACGTTTACCCTCCCACCACCCCGAGGAAATAATATTCTCGCCCGACCTCGCCTCCACCCACAGTCCTTTCCGATCTCCCACTCCACCCTCGAACTCGCACTTCAACACTCGGATAGCACATACGATCTCGATTGCACCCGTGGTTCACCATGGCGGACCCCAGTGTAGACATCTCGTCTCTCACGGAAGAGCAACAGCTTGCCCTGCAACAATACACAGCCGTCACCGACCAGGAAGTCGACAAGGCCATCCCACTCCTCACACGCTGCCAATGGAACGTCCAAATAGCAATCGCCCGCTTCTTCGACGGCGAACCAGCCGAAGACCCCGTCGCTGCTGCCGCCGCCGCGCAGCCCGCGCCGCAAGACACCCGCCGACAAGAAACGCTCCTCAACGGCTTCACATCCCCACGATCATCGTCGAGTAGTGTGCGGCGGGTGCGAATTGAACCTGCGCCACGAGTAGTCCCACAACCAGAGGGTCAAGTCAGCACGCAGGTCCCGCTCGTACTCGCTATAGTGTTTGCGCCTTTCTCGCTGGTATACTCGTTACTTGGGAAATGGTTCCGGTTCATGGGCTGGCTGTTCCCCTTTCTCCCGCGAACATGGGGACGGGTGACTGCCAGTAACATCAACACGCCCTCTTCACGAAGCAGCGCATCTGGGCGGCGGCCCTTGAACCCCCGCGACACTGCCGCGCGCTTTATCCGCGAATTCGAGGAGGAATACGGTTCTCACACCCTGCCCTTCTTTGAATCTGGCTACGCGCAAGCCTTCGATCTCGCCAAAAAGAACCTTCAATTCCTCATGGTGGTCCTCATTAGCCCCGAACACGACTCGACGTCCTCCTTCATCCGTAACACCCTCCTCTCACCCGACGTTGTGTCCTTCATCCGCGACCCCGAAAACAACATCATCCTCTGGGCCGGCAACGTCCAAGACAGCGAAGCGTACCAAGTCTCATCCGCCCTCTCCTGCACCAAATTCCCCTTCACCGGCCTTATTGTACATACACCACAAGTCTCATCCACCGCAATGGGCATTGCCGCACGCATCGTAGGCCCCACGCCACCAGGCCAATACATCGCCAAGCTCAAGGCAGCCATGCGCACACACGCCGAACCCCTGACCCGCGTCCGCAACCAACGCGCAGAACAACAAGCAACAAGAAACATCCGCCAACAACAAGACAGTGCATACGAGCGCTCCCTCGCCACAGACCGCGAGCGCGCGCGCAAAAAAAAGGAAGAAGCCGAGCGCAAAGCCAAGGCCGAAAAAGAAGCCCAGGAAAAAGCCGAAGCGGAACAACTCTATGCCAAAAACCTAGCCCAATGGCGCAAATGGCGCGCTTCCAGTATCCCCGCTGAACCCCCTGCCGACGCCAAGGATATCGTGCGTATATCGCTTCGTATGCCGAATGCTGAGCGTGTGGTCCGCCGTTTTGCATCCGGTGCGCAGATTGAGGAACTTTATGCTTTTGTGGAATGTTATGATGTTCTCATTTCTGAGGAGCCTTCGCCAGAGAAGATTGAAGAGCCGAGTGGATTTCAACACGAATACAAATTTCGCCTTGTTGGTCCGATGCCGAGGGAGGTGTTTGAGGTTGATGCTGGAGGAGAGATTAAGGCGGTTATTGGGAGGAGTGGGAACTTGATTGTTGAGAGGACGGATCTTGGGGATGAGGAGGAAGAGGAGGTTGAGGAGTAGAGCGGGAGGTTGGTGGGTGGGTAGATGTTTAACGGGACGGTTTGGGCATGTCTGGATGATACGTTGGGATGACGATGATGGGATAGGTTAGGATGGAGCATTGGATGGCGTTTTGGTGTCTGAAGCGATGTGGTATGGTATGCTCGGTACACTATGAAATGCTTCTCACTAAGCCGTGGTATAAATCTCCACACTCCCCCCCAGATATCAAGACTAACGCACTATCAAGTGCTTCGTATATAACATAAAATGAATATACATCCTTGTATCTCACTTCACTTCACTTCAATTCACAAAGCAAAAAGTAGCGCAGAGTGAACTCAATCTCATATCCAGATGAAAACTACAGATAAAAAATTATGTACACTTATCGCATAACCCCCCACCCCTTTATCCCTCTTTACTATACACAATAAGAAACCGCACAACACGACCAGAAATCGCATCGACATTAATTCCTCCCATCTCAGCATTTTTAAATCATAATCACCATATTCAGTGTGATGCGATAAAAACACAAGCGTACCATTCGCAAAGCTTAGTACTACTTGATTGCGTGATTGAATATATAGATGCCTGGGGAAAAGAGTTCCATGGGAAGATTCTCAATTTACATACCTACATGCCATGCCACGCATGCCCTTGTTAATTGTGTTTGTGCAAAGGCAAAAAACTTAGAAAGATAGTGATTCTGTGTGGGCAACAAAAAGGTATGGGTTGATGATGCGCTGCACAGTCAATTAGTCAGTCAGTCAGTCAGTCAGTCAGTCAGTCCAACCCAATACATCACGTAAAAATCTCTGGATACATCTATCCATTCGCAAGGCATGCTTGATATCTCAGTGCAGTGCAGAGTTTTCAATTCAGCAAATGCAGTAATAGAACTAGATGTTACACGCAAGTTTTTCATTTCAATCTATGTAAAGACAAAACAAATAGGAGCCAAGTCATGGGATTCGAATAAAAAGGACAGACGTCTGAACAATCGATAGGTGGCTTGTGATCGTTGCAAAATGCACCGAGACACTCGCAGCATAAGCCGTGTGCTTGTTGGAGGTCAGAGTGGGATGCACAATCTGACTCAGACCGGCAGTGTATGTAAAGCTGCCAGTCACTGTGGTAGCAGGTGACTGGTACATGTACAATGAGGTTGCGAAAGTATAACGCGAGTCGAGAATTGGTCGGGCATTGGCATCATATCACCCGAAAGGTTATCTTTGTCAAGTTTCCTGCGTACGAGATCTGGCCGGAGCTTGCAACGAGGCTTGGGTGTCAGAAAAATGGCCTCGACTGTGGCGTGGACGCTGTGCAATGGTAACAAGTAGTGGGATGAAGCAGCAAGCAGCCTGTCACGGCTGCGCCAAACTGCCTCAACCACCCTGGCCGTTTGGGGGTGTACGTCCCCATGAACTGTGCGCATTGTCCTGGTTCGAACCGAATAGCACAGGACCGGCCATGTTCGGTCCATTAGCATAGCCGTACTGGTGGTTGCTGTTGTAGCCGTTGACGTGCGATGATCCCCAGTTGGATGGACTACCGCTCGGGTTTCCCCAAGCCGCGCCACCAAGGCTTCCGCTGACGGGTCGAGGCGCTCTGCTGTTAATCGGCGTAGTAGTCTCCATACCAAGGAGCGAGTTCGCAGAATCACCACGAACGTGACCGGACATTCCGTTGCTAGGGCCAGCAGCAGGCGACCTGCTCAGACTATTGCTAAAGCCATTCGGGTTCAATGCAGATGGAGAAGAAGGACCCGGGGTGCTGAAAGACTGACGGTTCCAAATCGAGTTCGTGTTGTGGTGACCATCCGGTAGCGAAGGCAGAATCGCCGGCTGCCGAACAGATGAAGTAGATCCACTCCGTCCCATGGGAGTGGAGAGCATCGCAGAGGTAGGGTTGGGGGACAGCGGTTTGTGGTTCTTGAAAGATTTGACCAAATCGCTGACATAAAAGACTGCTGGCGCATATGTGGTGTCATTCACAATAGCTGTGTCTTCAAATGTCTGCTCTGGCGGAGTCGGTGGGATGTTCTCGTCTTCCTCGGGTAGAGGGTCCAGACCATCGTCGATTCCAACCAGGTCATCGACCATACGATGCATGGCATTGTCTTTGGCAATGGTAGTCGACGCAGACTCAGAGCCTGCAGCCACACTGCATGACTTTTGATCTTCGGGAATCGCCTTCTCAGGGGGGAACAAGGGAAGATCTACCGCTTCTACCGGCAATACAGGCGATCCGTTCGTACGGTTATTGGGGCTCGCGAGCAGCTCAGATGGCAGCCCTTCTTCGCGATAGATGAAGCGAGATCCGTCCAGATCTAGCGGCGCCTCTGCGTTCTGAGTCAAGAGAAGACCGTCGATAAGCAAATCTTTGACGCGCATCAACATCTCCACGTTCGGATGGTTGCGTTCAAGATCAGTCCATTTCTGTTTCATCACTCCACCGTCGTACCACAGTTTCATCGTATCTGGTGAAATCAGAGG